ATGCAAAGTTATTTTAACCATAAGTTGTATGTGAAAATCCTACAATGACATTGGACTATTTATTCCTGTTACGGCGTCAAGGATACATTGATAAATGAAATGAGGCAAAAACAGTGACAGCAGTACACTTTGGACTGCACATAGAAATGTCTATTTCTTTAATGCCTTTTTATCAGAAATGAAATTAAAAGAAGGAAATCCTTTTACGCTCGCAAAGAAGGGGTCGCCTTTATAATCTTTTCCAGCGAGGAATTGATATGAAACCGATGAGGAAAGGAGTTTTACTTCTGCTTCTTAAATTTTATTCATACATGTAATTGCATAAATTGAAAAAAAAGTGCCGCAAAAGAGGATGCCAAGTTTGAGGGGTGGTATTTTGTGGCACATAAAGACGATGAAAAAAATGGCCGTCGACAAAATTGACTACCTTTCCGTATCGCTAGTCTCACTCAATTTTCTACTCGTCGTCCTCGGCAAACGACCAGGAGGTACGTCAAGATCGATCTCCCTGGTTCGACGTAAAAAGGCTCTCGACAGGCTTGGAGAGGCTGGGGTGAGAAACTCCTTCTACAGCTGTTGCATAGTGCATGTGTTCTGTCTCTCTCTTTCGGCGTACGTTTTTGGCTCAATTTCGAGCGGGGCAATTCCGTTTCTCCCCCTTGCCTCCTTCACGTTTGATGTCCCTTATTCGGCTGGCAGGTGACAAACTTGTGTACGCCGAGCACTTCATTTGCAAGCTTGTCGCCAGTTTTACTAAATATTGTGCACCGCTGCTAAAGTGCTCCAGTCGCAGTTGGCTCACAAGCATGCAATCATCACAGTTGCTTCATGTAGTATTTCGCAAGGTGCAGGAAGAAGTCCCAATTTCATATTGAGCATTATCTGAGAGGTCTTAGTATGATAGTATGAATAATTACATTGATTTAAGTCCATTAAGACTAAGCTGCCTGCATAATTATGTATTTTTATATAGCGTTAATTGTAGAATGATGTTGTTAGTATACATGAATTCTCAAAAAAGACCCACAAAGAACAAAAAGAAAACACATGCATTTATAGATCTAAACCTATTCGTGTCTTCCAGGTAAGAGCGCATCAATGTGAATCGCAGTTAAATAGACAACAATCCACGGCACAGATATTGATTTAGATGCAACGAGTAGAAATCGCAGATTTGGGAAATCGCCAGGTGATTTACAGCAATTCGCGCGGTCGCTTGCCTGAAGCTAATTCGGCTTGCTCAATAAACCCAGGATTCCCCTCCTTTCTGTTCGTCTTTTTCACGAGACGGACAATATGTCAACGCCGGCGAGATGGCTCATTCTGCTGAGGCACTCGACAGCGCCTGAGACACGAGATGTATAGCAACAGGCCTTCCGGACAATTGTTGGAGAGTTACCTCGGTAGCTGTCTAGTGAGACAACGAAGCAGGGAAAGCGAAGAAGTAGAAAAAATATTGTCCAGAACCGAGGTAGGGGGAGGCGAGATGTCCTGAAATTCATGAGACCGATAACTTTATCCTTTCTAAAAGGGCAATGAGATTTTTCCCTTTTTTAACCGCGGTTCTCTGGAGTGTAGCGTGGTGGAATTACGGCTTGCGATCGGGTTAAACCAGAGGTCCTGCATTTTGTTTGGATGGAAGCGGCGGCTATGAGTTACTTCAACGCCGCGTTGTGTTAGGGGATTTCGGCTGACAAGTGTAGATGATCGAGAATGCACAGACCGTAAATGCGACGAGCGATACACTGATCTTTACGATATTGGGGGGGGGGTCGCCCAACGGGGTACACCAACGGGTATTTTTTAAAGGAGCCATCTGGACAAAACGAAGGTTGCACGTACTGATCTCCTCTATACACCGTCAATGTACGGTGGAGATTAACAGTTCCACGTGATAGAAAAACGGAAAGAGCAGTATAAAATAGCCTATTCAGTCGCCAGTTTGATGGTTGTGCATAATGAGCATTGCAATCTTAGACATTACTTTAATGATACATATGAAATGTTCACCGCTCCAAGATTTTCAGGATTTTTAAACGTCGATTGCCTATCACTGAGGTTGTGGTGTACGAAGAGGTGGCAGCAGAAAAAACACTCCTTGCAGGAGAAAAAGATGGTACTAAAGAGAAAAAATGCAGACCGAAATAAAAGACACAAGATGGGCACTTCAACTCTACAAGAACTCGTGAAAACAAGAAACGGTGCGATTGGAACTCAACATGTAACTCGAATATAAAACCGCAAAGCTGCGCTCTCAGAAACGCGTCCAACAAGTCTGCCGGCCCTACGCGGACATATTCCGTGGCCGCCTCTCGTCGGGGAAAAAGTGCAGCAGCACCATCATCAGTGCGTCTCGCTGCTCAAAGCTCTCGCGATATTCGGTATCTGTGTCCGTGGGATCGTCGAAAGTGAACGGGTTGGTTGCCCGGCGCATTGGAAGCGGGTCCGTTCGGAACCCGAAACAACACCGCGCTCATGCACGAGCCTTCAGCGTTCCGATATCGACACGTAGAGGTTTCGGGTCAAGTGGGTGCAAGCAGCGCGCTCCGATTGCGGAAGATCGCGCACTGGGATCCGGAAAAAGAGGCTCATCGAGGGTTGAAAATTGGGAAATTTGAACCGATTTGGGGTTACTCTAATAAAATGTGGCGTGTAATTAACCCGGACGAGAGTGCACGGTTTCAGAAGTTCGCAATCTGAAGTTTTTAGAATATGAAAATCACTTATTACGCCGTTAATTAAAAAAAATTACAACAGTGTGCGAGGATGCCAATCTTGCTATTTTACAGTTTGCAACAACTTCGCTCCCCAAAAGCTAATGTTGATATTGGAAAAAGGACTGGGAGTGTCTGTGTCTAGGACACAGAGAATGAGTTCCGAACATTGATAATGTACATGTATCTGATTCAATGGTGCGAACTGAAATTGAATACACAAAGTCTACGCAAATTTTCGAATCCACATGTATACTTCATTACACGATGCTGACAGGATGCCATGCTGAGACCTCGAGGACGGTTGCGCCAATGAAACGCAACATAAGGTCTATAATGCACAGAAAATGGACTTATTCATTATGCTAAAAATGAAATAGAATACACGGAGTAAATGCCAAATTTATTTGCACTTCAACGCGCATGGCTTACAAGATTATATTACCCTGCATCATGGCCCTTATCACTAATAATTCATAATTATGCACGCACGCGCACAAATGGCCTTGGCGGCAAGAAGTGTGAGCGGGCCATTGAAAATGTACAGGAGTTCGACTTTGATGATCATTTTCTCTCAGGTTTTCTGGCTTTGTTCAGTTTTTTTCTTCAGAAAATCCCATTAAATCGTGTTTGCTGTTAGTTTCTAATTTAAGTGGAATTTATAGTGCCCTATAAAAATACTTTATAATCGGGGTTTTTACTGTGCGCACGAGATTGCCGCATGGCCCCTTTCCATATACAAATTAATAAGCAGTGTTCTTGGAGCCAACCTGTGCATTTCTAAAAAATACGTAACAATGTTCATTGTACATGTATACTGTACATAGCTTACCACTGAACTTGGTCTCAGCTTGGGGTACTACCGACAGAAATGGTATCCAGTTGTTGGGTTTGGAGTTGTACAAGACATACTGCAGATTCCAACGAGAAAGGGATCTGGTTCTTCAGATTTCCCAAGTGCAGAAAGCAGCGAATCGAATGAGTACAGTACCGCTATACATTGAACGTCAGCACCGTACGTGTTTTTACAAATGCACAGGTTGGCTCCAAGAACAGTAACGATGTAGTTCATACTACTTATGATGGAACATTTGGTAGACGCTGTAGATCAACTTGAAACACATCTACATGGATTCAAAATTATGGCGATTTGGACGATTTCCATGAAAGAGGGTAATTCACGTATCGATACAAAATGCCATTCTTTATTTTCAAGCATGATATCTCGGATGCGCACAACCACAGCTGAGAGACGATCACAAACAAGAACCTGATTTGTATTCACTGGACATTTCAACGTAATTCTCTTTGTCCCAAGACGACCGCTTCCACGCACCCATTACTAGATACATCGCAATCCACGAAGTCGCAACTGATGACTGAATGCAATCCATTAATTTGTACCACTTTGAAAGGATTACCACTCCGTGCATGCAATCCCCGGTCCGTATGCGTACACACGCAACGGAAAAATTCGAAGAATGACAATTCACATATTGAAGAAGGCAATTCATCGTCTCTTTTGATCCCAGTCGACACAATAACTTAATTCCAACGGCATCAAATGGACGGTGAATTCACCTAGAGAGTGGGCTACGTCACATTGTTTGGAACAGAATGCCTTTCCAGACACGCTGTAAGTCTACTCACAGGTCTACTTTAAGGTTGACATCTTAAGACCTTCTTCGGTTAGTCATTCATTCCTACATTCTGATCAAATTTTGGATCGCAAGGTGTTCCTTTCCCACTTTAAGAGTTAGTTTTGCTTTACTTGATTAGAATTTTATTGGCATTGAAGCGCTGCAACACAATCTGGGACAGACTGCAAAAAAAAACATAAGAATGACCGGTCCAAGCCACAGTTAAACCGAACTTCGGTAAAGCGTTTCAACGGAAAACTACGCAGTGCCACGGACAAGGGGTAGCCAAGTGTCAAGAATTGCATGTATTGCTTTAAAACAAATGGAGCCCTGTTAACACAGGAGCTCAGTTATAGCTGAGATTCAACCAGATCGGTTGTTCGAGTCCTAACTGGCTAGTACGCCTGCTCATTTTTCCTCAATGATCTTGTACAAATCAGTTTGAAACCGTATAGTATAAACTTCTTTGGTGTTATACGTGCATTTCTTTTCTTTGTAAACTAACGCAATGAACGACCGATGGTAAAGGGTCTTCGCCCCGACTTGAAAATTCTAGTTTCTCAAAGCTGTACGAAGATAGCTATAGATAAGAATTCGAATTTAATAGACTGATGTCTATCTCCGACCACGACAAGGCAGTTTTTACCTCCTGTATTGAGTAGCCACGCCCCTTAGAACAACAAATGGTCAGCAAAAAAGTACAGTCCCTTCTTATGTAAAGGCGACCATCACACCCGTGCGCGCATTCATGGATGCAGGTGCACCAATCAGACAGCAACACTCGCCGGAGGGTTGTTGGCCATCATTAGCGAAGTAACACAAATCTCCGTCTGGTGGAAAAAAAATCGCAGAGGAAAATTAAATCCCCTTTAGCCTAACATCGAAGGGGTGCAGCGACGGCTGAGGCAGATCTGTCTCCTCGCCGCCAGGTTTTCTTGCAAGGAGTTTAATTTGCTGCCAGGAGGGTTTCACCGAGGCGTAAAATAGGGGCACATTACGTTAATTTGGACAAATTGGTCACGATTAGTGCGAGGCTGTTTTCGAGGCAGGAGGTGGGCAAAGCTGTTTCGTACAAAGCATGTTTGTAGCAACGAGACGGGCGGTTTCTTTTAACCAAATATCCTGACAAATCACGTTTCTGATGTGAATTGACACGTACGAGTAAACGGGGACCAACACACTCAAAATCGACGGTAAGCGATCCATTTTCAGTAATGATGCTTATTACAGGGAATGTTGACGCATGTTAGAACGGTCCCGTCTAACACAGTCATATTCAAATGTTTGATTTGCAAAAGCCAATACCGATCGGAGAATGCCGATAATTAGCTCTTATTCGCAGGGAAGCCATTTTTGTTTATGTTCCGAGAATCTGTCTCATTTTATGTAATCTGTTAAATGTGATGGTGTCAGAATATTTTGGACCCATTCCTCACTTTCATTTTTGTAATGACGTAAACAAAATTTTAAACTGTTCATCAGCAAAAATAATATTGATTTATGATGAAGTTTTATCCATTGCTTTCATTTCTATTGTCATGGTTCCCAAAATTACAAAGTTTTCAATTCAATATGGCCGACTTCTGAATAAGGTCGATTTACTTTGGTGTTACACTCCACTATAAGTCTAAATGGCTATACATTGTCGGCATTTTCAAAAGTGTGGGTTCTATTGGAGAGCTTCTCTTCTTTTTTCCTCTAGCCGTGAGATTTCTATTTATTGAATAAGAGCAACGACATGAAAATCGGCAGAGAAAAAATTGGCGTGCCGGACTAAACACCAAGGGTTAACGCCGCAGCACTCAAGAACTGTTTGCCTGTCTGATGGTACCATCTTATCCTAATGGATACCTTATGAACTTCAGCCAATTCATGACAAATTACCGTAAATGCACATCAGCCAGGGGTCAGGGCCGCGGCAAGTGCACTTTCAAGACGATGGTGAGAGCGATATGTAAGATAATCTATAATTAATGAATTTCTCGTCTCCGATATTATTTTCACGGTGGAAATCGCCCGCACTGAAGTGGAGTGTAGTTTTACCGCGTCAGAAGAGGCGACTACGGCTTCCCATTACGACTTCGTACGGAGAGGAATGTACCCAAGCAATGATGACAACTTCCACTTGAGACAAATAAATTCTCACCGTGCTGCTATGAACATATAGTATTGCCCACTGAATTTACAACATAATATGCTACGCGAATTTCAGCCTAGAACTTGCCAGAGGCAGTACAAATGACACAACACTTTGGTTGCATGTATTGAGCAAGCTGAAGCCGGACTGATATTTTGTTTGAATATGAACATAATTATGGGCTTGAAAACACCACACACGTTCAAATCCACCCTCCGTATTTTGAGCTCATTCAAACATCCCAATTAAAGCTATGTATTCAAGACGACAGTATACCGAGCAGTGTACCAAGGTGTTAACTTCATTGACTAAGTGCTAACGTGCTGAGATATGAGGCCGTTTAATTCAATCTAAATTACCTTCTAGTTACAACGAAAAAAATAAATGTTGTGTTATTCGATTGTCTACCTCAAAGAGACCACAGCAGAGCTATAGACGAGGGCTCTTTGGACGGCTGGATCAAAAGAGAGGCTGCACTTGCAAACTCTGACCACTTATGTCACACGGTAGCTTAGCAAGGTGCATTGTAATGACGCAAGGGAGTTCACATGCAAGCGAAGTCTCGCTTCTCATTCTAGTGTGGCGATTTCATGCAACAAGCACATTTCTCCAGATGAGCAACTGTGCTCCATTTACCTTTACGTTGGTGAAAAATTTTGTAATCGAGATTTTAAACGCTGCTTTCGAGCAGCGTTTAGGCCTATTACATGCTATAAATATAAATTCACCCGTAAAAGACTTTAAACCAGTAACAAAATCATCCTTAGAAAAATCTAGATCACAGAAAGACTGCACCATTAAAAATGCACAGTATAAGGAGATCTGACATTTCAAATCCATTTACGCCAATTTTAATAAGTGCAAATATTGTGCACTCGCGGAAAACATTTATATTTATTTTCGGCAAGTTAATTCATGTTCTTAATTGTAAGATTTTCTTATACGCATTGTTACATTATCATCATGCTGTGTAAGTAGTAAATTACTACATTTATGATTATTCATAGAAATGTGACCCACTTTTTCACGTTTCTTCAGGTATCACATTACCTAAGACATGCGCGCCTACGCAGTGCCACTGAACAATCCGGTGACAGTTCCTTGTGGCACACCAATCATTCATAACACGAAATGATTGATGTGGCGGAATTTTAATGGCGCTGTTCATGATGGAATTAGTTTTTCTGGCCCGGGTTGATATATCTTATACCGACGGCGAAATTAATAGTGTGCGTCGAGGGAGTCACGCCTGCTTTAAATTAAGAAAAGACAGCCTCACAATTAATGGGGAAGGGGGAGATTCTCTCAAAGCTGACTTGAAATATCTGGAAATCGGACCACGCCACAACAGTGATTTGTGGCTTTTTTCAGCGAGCATTATGTTCAATGTTCAAACACTCAAAAAGTGAAAGTGTACCATTACATCGGGAAAATGCCATTGATCACTCGCGAGTTTGATGAGACCGGACACCAGCGACGGCCACGCCATATAAGGTAATTCTGTGATTAGGACTACCTACATCAGGACGTTTGTACTGCCTACTGTGACACTACTGCAAAGAGACTTTTTCATTTTCTGGTGCTCGGTCAAGATAACGTGAGCGCACCGACGCCCCAATCACAGTCAAGTTTTAGCGTCAAATGATATTCTAATTTCTCCAATTAGTCGCAACACACCGTGAAAGCAAAGTCAAAATATTCTGTTGTGTACAAGGAACGGAACCAGACGATAATGAGAGCGTCAACCACTGATCCACACACCTGGATGGCAGGCGCCGCTGTGAAAGTGAAGCAACCGCGCCGTCATATTGCGTGTGGCAAAAAACCGTGACACGTGTACCATGCCCAACACTGTTGTATGCGGAGTACTAGCTAAACTTTCCACGTATGCTAAACATATCATGATTAATTATGACAATTGCACATGAAAAAGATAATATTACTTTCAATAAAAATTATAGATATGGATATTAAATTCAAATTACATACGTTCGTCAAAGTTCTATATTATATAAGTAACATTATTAGAGGAGATTTCAACGAATGGGGAAAAAAGGGAATCAAATGGGCCTTGCAACATTGGTACTTCACATCAAATTAATCGAAAACTTCATGGTAAGAAATAATTTAAACAAAAATTATTGAAAAAATGAGTAGAAAGTAATGAAAAATAACCAAGCGGAATAAGTAAACGAAGAAACAAAAGTTAAACTGCAATATTTTACTAGTATAAATAATAATTGATAAAAAAATCAAAAATAGAACGTGTAACTACAATTAAGAATAAACAAATGGTTAATATCAATGAAGGTTAGAAAAAAACAAATAAATTAGTTATAAAAGCAATAAACACAAAAATGGTTTCCTCTAGTCATGCAGAGTTTGAACCCACATACCAGTAAAGCATATATTTTCTATTATTAATCAAGCACAAAATTCTTGGAAGCAAGTTGAATAAGTCAATTTCGAACTAAGGACTATTTCTTAAATTTCGGGAAATCTCAAGCTTTGTCAAAATCAATGTACAATACCATTCATATGGTTCACTTAAATTTCACACCATTCCTATTCTGTTGGCAAAGAATACACAAATCATGAAAAATGCTAAGTATACTAAAATCAATTTCGTTGGTTGTTGTGGACATTTTATTTTATCCGTTCCTATTCAAGAATAATGCAATAATATTCTTTTTACAGCACTTTTGGTGTTTTTTTCTGCGTAATCACAGCAAGCTACAACGCGTATGAAAACCACTGCAATGCTTTGCCACCACCAAAAATGGCCGCCAGTTGTTTCATTGGTGAATAGCCAATCACCGTACGCGCCTGCTATCCAGGCGTGTATAGATCGGTGGCGTCAACACGCTCAAGTTTGCTCCCACATTCACATTTCCTAAACCAACGACCAATTTCAGCTTCATAATCACGAATCTCTTTCAGCGACACAGGTGGCCCGTTCCTACTTCGCATGCACGCGATCTATAAAGTGATTCGCTTGTATTAATCACTTGGTAAAAGGAATTACTCATAGACATAGTACACAGGCAAGGTTGATTAACGCGCTACGCGTACGCAAAGCGCGCGATTTACATTCAGTTGCTCCACATATAATACAAAATTCAATGCAACAAAGTTCACTTGTTTCGCTGCGACAAATAAAACATATTTTGTTGAACACGACTGGGCAATACCTTCGTCAGGGGGTAACATCTTTAAATTTAGCCTCAGTAAATCATTTTGAAAGACCCCACACTCACCATAGTTCAATACGGATGATATGATTTGCGTGTTAAACCTGCCCTAATATAGCTTTATACAGAAACTTCATGACGAAGATACCTCCAAAGGCCGACCACGCAACGTGCAATGAACTAAAGAAACACGAACAGTGCACTGTGTGAATGGATGTGTTAAATCAACAACAATAAGCCACTTGCAAGTTAAATTTGAACAAAATCTGGCACACGGAGTTATCTGGTTGCATAGAAACGTAACAATTTGAATTCCCCAGACGAAAGACACTGTTGCTATACCTCGTGATTCGGGGCAAGCTTTTGCATAGCGACCACCATATCTGGAATGGACTGGTTCCTTTGTGCCGTTCTTATCCGTTGAGAACAGTGTATTGTTGCAAAGCGTCTCTTACGTAACTAAGCAAAAGCTTGCCTTGAATCACGAGGTATGGCAACAGTGGTTTTAGTATGGAGAATTTAAGTTGTTATGTTCACGTGCATTTAGAGAACTCAGTGCACCAGATTTTATTCAAATTTAACTCGCAAATGGCTTATTGGGTTTAACACACATTACTTTTCGACGTGGTTGACAGCTTTTACTGAGAATATTAAAGGCCGACTACTTTGCATTATGCGCGCGTATACCGCCATGCAAAACGTCGTGGGACACATTATCCATCGACCCCTTAAACACCCACTTTTTATTGACGGGTTTATCTATGTGAAAATTTCGATTTAAAGCCCTAGCAAGGACCAACATGTAGGTTACACTGCTGCACGGGTAGAAATGTCTTGTTGAGATTATAGCCGCGCCCAATGTCATAAAGCTGTGAGCAGAAAATCATGCTGAGCGAAAATTGGCTGATAACCAGTTCCCAAAATACTGACTGTAAGACCCTTTTTTCTAAGCACACATTTTTAGTGCTTAGCAAATTATGGTACATACACTTAGCAGCTCTATGAAAGTGGCCCAGCTGATCATACTCATCAAAGCAGAACAGCGAACGGTGGCATATTGTAATTGTCAAAATAGATCAGCCAGACGATTGTCATTATCACAGATTGGTCCATCAAGCAGCGCCCTGATACGCCTGGCTGCATAAAGCGTGCTGTGGAGAGTGACGAAACGACATTCACTTAACTGTAAATTGAAAGTCGAGTGTGATTATGACCCGAAGATGGGAAAAACAAGTGCTAAGCCAATCTTCACTAGCTCAATGAATAGCCTTTTGATCGGTCTCTGAATGGAAGAGGGCGATAAAAGTGCACCTTTTCTCTCTCTCTCTTACTCTTCTACATTCCAGGACACCATTATGATCGAAGAAAAATGCAAATGCCTTGTTGCCTGCTTCTTAATTCTACAGTGGGCTACATCTTATAAGTTGGACAAGATTACCCTACAACATTTGAGCTACAACTGTCTACATGTACACCGTCTTTCTTAAAATTGCTATATCCAGCAAGATATGGGACAGAGGGGTACCCCCACTACATGTCCAATTCCTGTACACACTGCAGACTATTGTTACCTATCACACACACCCCTAGATGTCTGAAAAGAATTCCTGAGATTCCGATCAAACCAAGACCAACACAAAGGTGGGGGTACTTCTCCGTGCTTCAAATGGATATAAATTGCACGCTGTTTGAAGTACAATGTACAAGACCTGCCAACACGCCGTATGCCACACTCCTTCCTGAGGTAAGGCATTACCAAACAATACATTAAAAATTTAAATGAACTGAAGGCTCATTTAAATACTTTTAATCTATTGTGTGGTAATGCCTAACCTCAGAAAGGAGTACAAGGTTGGCAGCTCTGCATGATTCATGACGTGAAATTAAACACACAAAGAACTGACACTCTCGTTCCTACTGAAACACATCTTGTGCACTGTGCATTGCAATTGCCAAAATAATGCAACTTGGAAATACTAAACGGTCTGAATGTCCCTTAAGCTGCAGGTTGAAAGAAATTAGTTTAAGGAAAGCTATCAACCAAAAAAAGTAATGTCTCAACTGCCAACATCTATGACATATCCTTTACTGAAAGGGCAAAAATACAGGTAACCGGTCGAAAGACAGTTGGTAGACAAACTGCCTCGTGAAAAACGGCAGGATAACGACTGGTGTTAGCAATCTCGACAAGAGCAAGCGCCGATTTGACCACATGCACCGGATGAGCTAATTACATGAGGTAAAGTACCGCGGTGCGTCGACGATAGTCTTCTCGTCAAGTGTGCGCACGTGTGGGCACCCGGCGGTGCTCCACGCTAAAGGCTCTTCCCGGCTGATGTATCGCCGGATGGGGCCGGCTGGCATATCGCACAGAGAGGGAGAGAGAGGGGCGCGCAGGGAGTGAGACCTCCCTAGCCTCATCACGCATATCCATCTGCGCCACTTACCTGCAGTTTGTGCGACAAAAAAGGAAGCAGGCAATTACGCCGAGCGATCCACAGCACACCGGCGACCGGGACGAATGAGACGAGGAGATACTTCGTGGAGACACGGGCGCTTCCCCCGGTCCGAGTACCGAAAACAAAATCCGTGAGCGCACTCATGCGAGGCCAGACGGAGAACTGACGAGACTGAGGGAGACGTGCATACCGATAATGCACTGATTGCTCTGTATGCGTACAGGTATGGGGTGCACGAGAAGACGAACGATTGGGTTGTAATGTTGGCAGACAGTCGTGACGTCACAGGGATTACTGTGATTGCCATTGGCTGCTCGTTTGCCAGTGCAACAGGCGACGGACCCCTGATTGCCAATGAACTGACTTATCTTGTGTTTGGTCGTAAAATTGTGCCTGGAAAAGTGAAAACGAGCCATGGCGACTCGGGCAGACTTGAAAGAGTATACTTCTATAGCATTTACGGAAACCATTTTGCAGGATCTGAGCAGTATTTTTGCCACTGTATAGAGATTAGACACAATCAATGAAAAACAAAAGTTTTCATACGCCGCCTGTAAGATTTCGAGGGGGGGGGAGAGAAATGAAAATAAGGACAAGAATGCGTAGTTCGTTTAGTAACCTGTACATGTCTCCTGAGTGTATAAACCAAGTTACTGTGGATGTTGTGTTGTTAAAGTCGAAGGCGTTACTGGATCTGTTTGTGTCTGGATGTCATCATTACGAACTCTGACAAAAATTACCGTGGGCAATATCGATCACCCAAATGTAGTAATGCAGTCATCAGTCACATTTTGTGCTTCATTTGTGCTGTTGTCAGTGATGTCGTGGCATGCACTCTGCAGTGCGGCCACTGCTGTTGTAATTGAGATAGTAGTGTTTCTGTTGGCGCCGTTGTTTGTCTAGACGATGCAATGTCGGTTCCCATGAGCTATGCATGCATGCATGTTGCTGTCACGGGTGCTCAGTTGTTGCTGCTCTATGATGGTCGTCCTGCTCCTGTTTCGTGAGTTGACGTTACCATCGTTGCTCGACTGCTCGCTGTTTGATACCGTGTGCTATGTAGTTTCTGCTATGAGGGAGCTGTAGTTATCGCTTGTAAGTTGTGTGCGGTACCATAGAGACTACATGCTTGTTTCTGTTGTTACTTTGGTTGATGTTGGTGCTTGTTTCATCTTTATAGTAGAGGCCTTGATATTTTGTTGCCATACCTGAAGTCGCCACTGATGATGCAAATAGCCTCGGATTCATCCGGAATTCGGTTCCTCTCCTATAGAGCAGAGTCCCGAAATCCCGACCGTGCTTTATTAGAAAATGAGTCCAACAGTTACTGAGCCCACGGCCGTACTGAGCACGATAAGAGAAGAGCCTTGCTGGAATGCCCTGAGGCAGAACAGCGTTCTCAGAATACAAGTACACCAGTCTCGTACTACTATAAAACGCGTTCTTCACAATGCTCCATACTTCTGATATTACAGCACTGAAGTAATGCATTGTAACGAGGTATGATCAGACGCAACGTCTGCTCAGTTTTCACTGATTAAGCGTTTTCATTTTTTCTGGATAAATTTGGTAACAATCATTTTTGAATACCTGTATGGCGATATATTTGTTTTAGTGTTCAGACTATAATGAAACAAAGAAGATGCAATTCGAAGCTACGCTTGCTCGAGCTCTACACGAAAAGCCGGCCCCCCCTAAAAAAAACGTACAGAGGGCAACACGCAAATAACTACTCTACCTCTTGTCCACTACTGTACCATTTGAATGATTTCTTTTCAGTCGGCACGGAGTAACCGCGATGAAAACGCACAGTTTGACTGAAGCCATGTCTTACTGAATTTGCCAGGCAATATGTAATTGGTGCGAACAAAAATGATCTGGGCTACGAGATCGATTTTTAGTCCGGGGGGAAAAGGAGGAAACACCTACGCAAAAGGAGAAAGGTATAATCGTTGAGCATGCGTAGTTACGATTCTCGGAACGATTTTGTCGCCACGAAAATGTACGGTATATACACAACATAAAAGAAATCCATCTTTGAATATCAGAAGGTAGATAATTTTACTATGACGTCATGCAGTTCCCATGGACCGCTTCGATCCGCTAGTTTTGATGACAGGCCGAGTCCGAACAAGCTACGGCTACGTCTATATACCGTAGTGCATTGTACATGTATAGCAAAAGCCGTAACCGAAGCAACAACATCCTTGATTTGTGGCGGTCTGATATCAAAGATGATACAGAACGGAAAAGATTGCGAGGGAAATGTGACATGCAGTGCATGCATGGGATCTCGGTCAAGCTTCATTTTTCCCATAAGGGAACCATGATGGATAATCGTAAGCCGTAGACAACAATACCCGGCTGACACACAGCCCAACAACCAGGCTGGTGGATTGGAAAGGTTTGTGGAAAATCCACGATGTCAGTGCAAACAATCCCTGGCCAGCTATTTCCCCAAATAATGTGCAAAGAAACTAACAGGTACAAAAGACATCCCGGTCCGTCACAAAAACGGACTCCTTCAAACCTTACAGAAACTTATACATGTACCTGTGCACCACGCGCAAGTACGCTCCTTGGTACCACGACGTGAATCGGGGTTTTGACTTTAGTTCCAAAGTAACATATCGGCTTCCCTGGTATAATTAGACGTCACATGGCGCAGCCATCACAGAAAGTGTTGCCTGTTAACTAGGGCAAAAGCACGGACCAGAAAGTGGCCAGATAATTTACACAAACACAGCCGTTTGCTGCATGTTTTCTCCGCTGTTTTGTCCATTGTCATAGCCCTATATAGAGCTCCAAATTAGGACCTTTCGGGCACAGCTCAAGACTGAAAACTGAAGCAAAAATGTTTTCCAAAATCAATTTCTCAAGAAATTTTGTTTTCTTAATCCTCTGGGAATAACAGAATTCCTGGAAAATTGACAAATATTCTTGGGTGTAAAGTAAAAATTCAAAATTGTTAAGGACAAATTTGGAATTTTAAAAAATTATTTATATAAGCCAAGGCAACAAGATCTAATGATATCGCTTATTAAATTGGATACCCGTACTACTGTGCCTCCAGACTGCGCAAAATTGGCCTACATAGGCCTCTACACACATGTCCATATGCATGTATCTACAATGTATCAAAGATACGTACGTTAGTGCACAGAGCAAACCGCTAATAGTAGTGGCAAAAATGTTGATGTTCTCTCGAGGCACACTTCTTCCCAAAAGAACCATCTCAAATTTTAGTCTGTCTTTGCTTTAATTATTCCAAAATATATAAACTGCGCAGACCTCGTCCATTTCCACGCAGAGTTGGGGTTATATTTCCAGATATTTGCCGCGTTTAAATAAAACCAATTACAAATGATTTATAATACGTTGCTATTATTACTTTTGAGGTCGGGAATTCCACATATTCTAGGCGTAGGTTTATACCGTCGCGTCTTGCTGTTCTTAGTGTTGCGTACACAAATCTCGGGGAAATGCATGCATTGTAGAGTTAATCAAATAAACAAACACAAGAAAACCATCAACATTTTATCTGCGTGTGAAGGTAACGACCTCAAGTTTGCGTTTCACTCTAGACGGGAGTAATAAAGCGGCGACTATTTTTTATAACAGACACGAAAAATAAGCCTTTTTAAGAGTTAAATTTGAATAAAATCTGGTACACTGAGTTATCTGATTGCATATAAACATAACATTTGAATTCCCCAGACTAAAGACAATGTTACTACACCTCGTGATTCAGGGCAAGCTTTTGCATAGCGACCACCATCTCTGGAATGGACAGGTTCCTTTGTGCCCTTCATATCCACTGAAAAATGTATCGAGGCAAGACGTCTCTTATGTAGCTAAGGAAAAGCTTGCCCCGAATCACGAGGTGCAGATACAGTGTCTTTAGTATGGAGAATTCAAATGGTTACGCCCATGTAAATCTAAAGAACTCAGTGTTACGGATTGTATTCAAATTTATCTCAAAAAAGGCTTATTACACGGGCATTGACAATTTTCATTGAATTTTATGCTGTATCCCAAGAAAACAGATGAAACGATACTTGTGATTGTAGGACCCCAATGCATTTTCAGCGTTTTTTCTTTCACACCACGGGCACCAATGCATGCAGAGGCATAAGAAAGAATTCATTGCGGTCCTTTATAGGACCTCGTCGTTCGTTGCAAATAGTCCACAGGGACTGACTAGAAGAAACTGTTGAACAAAGGGAACAGGAAAAACAATAGTCTCCCAAGGTCTTGGAACATCAAAGACGAAGTCTTTGTTTTATTTTTTCCCTCAAAGCAACCACGACATAATTGTTCGCATGTTAGCATAATGAAATTGTTGTCGAACAAAAATAATTATCAAACACCGTTCCGTGCCATGCTTCGCATGATATTGTACGGTGATACCATAACCTAACAAGGATCCGGCGGCGTGAGTTTGTAACCTGATTGAGAAGAGAGAAACAAAAGGAAGCAATTCAATCTTGACGTTGTTCCTGGGAAATCATTGTTGGAAACTGTTCTTGAACGTACAAGAGGAGAATGTTAGATTAAAGTGAACGACAGGAAACATTTGCGCCTGGCGAAATGGTAAAATCTAAAAATGTGCCAGGATGGTCACTCTTCTGATGCAGTGTCCATAAAGAAGTCATTATACCCACAGTGCCATGATATTTATTCCAATTAATGCTGTCAGCTGTGCGCCGCTGTGTTTGCTTTCAGCAAGCTTCCTTCTTGTTAATTGTTCCGGTGGACACAGAGCAAGCATCAATTAGGCGGCCATTAGGACACCAATTAATTAACTCTCGACGGTGTGGTGATATCCAATGCAATGGAATTACACCAACCAGGGTTCAGGATGACGACGTGAATATTCATTAGTAGAGTCGCGCATAACTGCCAATCAGAGAGCGGGGAAGGAAGGAGATCGGCCAGACGAATGGAGCAGCTCAGGTCAATGCGCCGCCGGTACATATTTTTTTTTTTAAGAGAGCTAAACAGGAAATGAAGGCTGCTGTAATTTATGATTTCTTGACAGGTCTTGAAGGGTTGTTCAACCCTCGGCGCCAAAAGTGGGATCGCCGTACGTCTCCCTGCGGCGGGCCGGCCCTTCTGGAGGAGAGAAGCCCTGGGACACTCTCGGCGCCATTTTCGCCAAAAAAATAAGCACCATCGACGCTGTTATGGCTGACAAGTAAAATGAATTCGCGCTTCCGTGCACTTTTTACATTTCTGAAAGCTGTTGGGAGATCATGTTCATTTTTTCCGAACACGGCATGTTTGGATTTGCCAATTAAATCTCTGTTATAGGGTTCTACGACCTACCTGTCATTCCACCCACAGCAGGTCGGAGCGCTAGACA